ACACAGCTTGCCTTTCAAGAGTTCATGTGCACACACAAAGCCCCCCCTTCCCGTTGTCCACGCGTGGCATGTCCCCTGGATGCCATCCTGCTGGGCTCCCCTGCACTTGAGGGCTGAGGGGGTACCCATCGTGGGAAGATACTGAATAGCGACAGGGGGCACCCAGTGCTGAGCTGATGGTGTAGAGACAGCCCTGGACGGAGACCAGGGAGTGAGCTGGGGTCAAGACCAATTGACAGAGGAGGGGACAAAGGGGAGGGCAGGTGAGGACCGTGGCGGAGGAGCCAAGGACAGATACAGGAGGCTGGGGGACCCACCACCCCAGGGAAGACACACAGCGTCCAGTGCAGACCAGGAGGACAGCTCTGGCAAGGGGACGGTGTCCTTGCAGGCATCTTGGTAGAAAACTCTCTCTGGCCTTCATGGACACTAGAAGCCTTGGCTGGCCGCCAGCCTCCTCGGCTGCGCTGTTGCGCCAATAAATACTTGTTGGCAGATCGATTAAACCATCTAGGAATGACGTCTGGAAATACAGCTTCCTCTGCCTGGTGCAGACGGACAAGCGCCTCGTTTCCACGAGGCCCCAAGATGCCTCGTTTCCACGGTCCTCCCAGGGCAGCCCTGAACGGGGGACATATTGGAGGCAGGACTGGCCCAGGCAGCAGGAGGGCAGCAGAGGAGTGGTCATAGCTATCCCTTGTAGGTCTGTGGCCTTGGAAACCCAAGACTCAGTTTCCTCCCTTATGAAACGGGGATAATAACAGTGACACTGCCTCACTTATTATGACTAAATTGTTTTGAGTAAAATGAATAAATAGTCAGCCTAGGACACAGAACATGGGTAGAATCCAACAAAAAGTGTAACTATTAATACCTCCATATCAAAACTGCTCCGGGGATGGGCGTGGTAGCACACACCTGTAATCCCAGCAGCTTGGGAGGCTGAGGTAGGAAGATGGCGAGTTCAAGGCCAGCCTCAGCAATAGCAAGGTGCTAAGCAACTCAGTGAGACCCTGTCTCTAAATAAAATACAAAATAGGCCTGGGATGTGGCTCAGTGGTCAAGCGCCCCTGAGTTCAATCCCTGGTACTCCCCCAACCCAAAAATAAATCTGCTCTGGGGCCCCAGGGCCATGTGTCTGCCTGGGGCGCCTCCCCTCTTCCTGTGTCACTCATCACCGGCCACCAAGAACTCCACAACCTGAGAAAACCACCAACATGTAGAAAGAGGAGCCCAGGAACAATTCTGAAAACCAACTCAGAGCAGATTCCAAAGGACTGGCCTACCCTGGGGGGCCCAACCTCACAGCAGTTGGGACATTTTCAGTGACATTCCCCCATTAGCGATCAATCACGCCTGATTCCAACCACCGCTGGGCCTGTCTTTATATGACTTGGCTTTTCAGAACACCCTGCAGAGTGCTGTACTAAGCCAGGGCTTTGAGAGATGGAGATGAAGGGGTAGGAGGAGGAACAATAGCAGAGAAGATGTGTCGGTGCCTCATCCAAACTCACTGCAGAAGGCTGGGGTCAGCCCTGGCTGCATGGCCACCCAGCCAGGTGAGCAGACCCTGCTGGGCCTTCTCTCCCTGCCTTGGCAGACGGATGCCATCCAGGCTCCCACAGGTACTATCTGGGCAACCTTGAGTGGCTCAAGCTCTCTGTGCCTTAATTTCTTCATGGCGAAGTGAAGATGATATGACAGGTATTCACTCAGAAAGTTGTTACAGGGATGTGGCTCAGCGGTAGAGTGCTTGCCTGGCCTGCAGGAAGCCCTGGGTTCAATCCCCAGTGCTGGAAAAACAACACCCACCCCCCAACACACACACACAACACAGTTGTTACAATGAGTTAAAATGTGTGAAGTGTTTAGCATAGAGCCCAGCACAGGCTGAGCACTGCATAAGTGTTAGCTGGCATTCTTATTGCCATTATTATTATTACTTGGGCCCTTGACAATCTGGGACAGCTTCCCATTTGCCTGGTGTAGGTAACCATGCTTCTCAGCTCACTGGGATGCCAGAGCCCCTGGGCATCCTGCAGCTCTTTGCAATAAACTCCCAGATGCGGGGCCCCATTTCACTCCACGCTGCAGCAAAAGAACAATTCCACTTGCAAAATTGACAACAGACATTATGTGTTTGCAATATGAAATCGCATCTTGTTTGCCAGAGGAAATCGCATGGCCAGGAGCTCCCGTCCCAGCAAACACGTGCTTCTGAGTTCACTGCGGTTAAGGCCTTTCTAAGCCTTGCTTTTACAGTCACAAAAAATTCAGAAATTAAAAGTGATATCCATTAACTTACTTCCGTCTCATTAGAGGAAAAGCCTCTCTGAAAACCACTTCCATTTTATTCCATAGATGAACCCCAGAACCTACCCAGATCACCTAGTTAACTGAAGCAGCGGGCCCCCATTGCTGGGAGTCTGCTCTGTGCTGGTGAGGTTTTATTTTTGTTTTGTTTTGTTTTGAGGTACTAGTGATAGAACTCAGGGCCTTGCACATGCTAGACATGTGCTCTACCTCTGAACGCCACATCCCCAGCTCTTCATATTTTATTTCGAGACAGGGTCTTCTTAAGTTGCTATGGCATCAACTCAGTGGTCCTCCTGACTCAGTCTCCCTGCTAGTGAATTTTATCATCCCCATTTTGCAAAGGAGAATGCTGAAGTTTGAAAGAGGAGGTCAGGATTGGTGAGAGCCTTCCTGCTGAGTGCTGCTGCAGTCTAGCCCAGGCCTTGGGGGGGGCTGCTCCTCTTCCCCCCAGCAGAGCTCTCTTCCACTATAATCCTGGGGGGAAGGAATCCCAGGGAACATCCCCGTCTTCTCTCTCCCGAGCATGTCTCTGACCCTGGTCCCCCACTTCCTAGTCAGGGCTATCTGGGGACCAGCCACCATGTCCCCAACTAACACTGGCTCAGAATTCTCCCTATCCACAGGTCCCCACTTTGGGTCTCCTTCCCTGCCCGGAGCCAAACTATTCCCAGTCCCTAGAGATCCATGGTGGACTTTGGCCCCAGTCATTCACTACGGGGACTCACAGCACCTTCCCAATCACTACCCCACTCCTGGGACTCCACTGCAGCCTGTTCTCTGGCCACCCTGTGGTCAGGGCTGGTCCCATGCTGAGCTGGCCCTTTCTGTATCATGTCTTGCCCAAGGCTGAAAACAGTATCTTGCCTGCAGAACAGGCTAGTGCCACATCAGACATGCCAACCCTCCTCACTAAATGGGAAATGCCAGGTTTGTTACAGATGACACCCTGGCCTCCCTGGCCTCCTGGATGGGTCCTCCAGATTCTGCCAAACTGAAAAATCAAGGCCAGGGGAGAGGAGGATGGAAAGCTCCAAGTTTCAGTCCCACTGAGCTTCTCCAACTATTGCAAGGACCTGAGCTTAAAAATGCCCAAACACAACTGTCCCTCCGTACCTGGCCTCCCTGATCGTGGTCCAGGAGGAGACTGCCCTGACCCTAACATCCAGGAGGGAGCCACTGGTGGCCGCCCTCCTCACATCTCAGCTTCATATCTGAAGGCCAAGCCATGGTCTGAATGGTGTGAGTTAACCGCCAAGAGGAAGCCCATCTGGGGGTCTCACCATTGGTTTTGGTAGCTCCCATTGGCTATTAGGCCTTTAATCCTGGCTATCATATTATTGGTGCCACCATATATGACGTCACCACAGATAAGGAAATGGCCAGTACTGTCCCATTTTTTAGAGATGAGTACAGTGAAGTTTATAGAGTTAAGTGGAGTCACCTAAGACAAAAACACTAAGTGTTGGGGAGATACACAGGTGGAAATAAAGAACATCAGACTCCAGAACATTGGTATACCCGGGCCACTCTTCTGGTCCAGTGACTAATTCCAGCAAGTAAAATTTCCCATTCCACTAAACAGTGTTTGCTGATGTTGTTGGTTTGCTCACCTCTGGGGTTTGCCTGGTCACCCTGTCTTAAGAGGACCCCAGACACTTTCCATTAAGACTAATTATGCCCTTCTCAAGATGTACTCTTCCACTCCAAGGTTTATCCAGTAAAACAAAATGGAGTAACGCTTTGCCATTCCATGACACTCTTAGTGCAACAACCACAAAAATAAAATATGAGCAAGAACACCACCAATCATACCAGACAGCTGAGCGCACCAGCTGGTAGGCTGGTGTGTGGAATGAGCAGCGGTCAGTGCCTGATTCCTGGCCCAGCTCAGCCTAGATTCAACTGGGGACATATGCCCTCCTGGGGCCTCTGTCCAGAGGCCACCTGCCTCCCCAAGCTAGCTGGTAAAGTTTCCAGTAGCTGCTAACTTTAAAAATCGGGACAGTTCACACAATCTAGATTTCTGGGTGCTTTTGGAAAAATCCAAAGATGTGACAACATTGAGTTTCCATTCTTATGGGGAAATCGTCAACTGGGGGATGAGAGACAGTTACTCCTTTAACAGTTCACCAGCAAGAGCTGAATTTGGGGGTTCAGCCCCTGCATACAGCAAGCGGTCAATACATGACCGATGCTAAAGTGGCTCATCACTTATCAGTAACTGGGGTGCATGGCATTTCAGCCCAGGGACGGTCTTCCTGTTACCTTCCTCCTGCTGTGACTAGCATGGATTATTCTGGGCACCTCTTGTACAGCCAGAAGGATGGGTAATGAACATCTCTACGCAAAGTCACTGTGCTAAGCACACACAGCATCGTGTTTGATCCTCACGACAACCCTAAGCTAGATTGCTCCCACCACTATTCGGCAAATGGGAAAATGAAGCACAGCCCAAGCCACCAGGCCTGCAAAAAGGTCAGGATTCAAACCCATGGCTAACCACCGCCCCTGCATGGCAGGATCATCCCAGCGGCTGCTGCACTGGCTCCACCTCCGGTCTCCTTCCCCAACTCTCAGGACCCACAGGCAATCTCTGAACCCCCTGCACCTCACCGAGCACACTTACGGTCAAGGCCATTGATATAGCGCATGGTGACTTCGCAGTGGCCCCACACGGCACTCACCACCGGGTACAGCTTCTTGCCCTTGAGGCCTCGGAAGGCCACGCCCAGGTACTGGCCGTCCACGATGAAGCTGAGCGTGCCCTCATCCATGTCCAGCACCACCAGCAGCGAGTCGGGCAGCGCGAAGGCCTCCTCGGGTCCTAGGAAGGCCGGGTAGGCGACCCCGGGCCGGTTCTTGCCGTCGTGGTAGAGGCGGCTGCGGCCCAGGTCCCAGCCCCACGACTCGGCGTCACTGCCCACCAGCGCCGTGTAGCCCACCGAGTGCAGCGGGGCTCGCGCCGTGGCCACGCCCACCACCGCGTGGGTGCCCCGCTGTCGCGCGGGCCAGTGGATCTGCCAGGCGTGCAGGCCGCGCGCGTGGCCCACCTTGCCGCGGATGCCGTCCGTGCTCTGCGCCACCGGGTGCCGGTGGAAGGTGAGCCGATCGTCCTCCTTGACGAAGACGTTGAGGGAGCGGTCCTCGGGGTTCCACGCGTGCCGCAGCTGCACGGCCAGCCCCGCCGCGGGCATGTCCAACAGCTGGTCCAGCCGGGCGGGCCGCCCGGGCTCTGCACCTCGCAGCTCGCGCTTGGCGGGTCGCAGCGCAGGCTCCCGCACCTCCACCGACTTGAGGCTCCCGGAAAGCTTCTGGCCCATGGCTCACTGTGGAGAGGGGGGCCACTGCAGGCCACTGCTACCTCGTGGGAGCCTCCACTCCCCGTAGCCAGGGACAGACCACGGGGCTGGGAACCCGGTTTCCGGACCGCAGACCTCCACAGCCTCCACTGGGCTGCGGCAGGGGCCCAAGCTCCTAGAAAGAAGCAAAGGGCACGGGTTATAACAGCAGCATCAACAGCCAGTTACTATTTCATTTATGCCCATGCCTTGGCTGAGCCCTTGTGCATGCATAATAATAATGATAATTAATATATTCATATCTGGCATTTATCGAGCACCTGCCATATGCCAGACACTGTTGGAAATGATTTAGATATTAGCTCATTTAATCCTTAAGACCTCACTGTAAGACACATCGGTTATTATTAATAACACATAGGTTATTATTCCAGGCATAGGATAAATAATTAGCCAAAGTCCACTACTAATAAGTGAAAGAGCCAATATTCAAGCCAAGGTCACCTGATTTCAGAATCTGTGTTCTGCATTAGAGCAATCATAAGTAATCATTTTAGAAATAAGGGCTGAACCCAGGGAGGCTGGGGCCATAGATATTTAGGGTGTGGTCCATGAGTTCCCAGCCCTGGCTGCCCTAGGGAGCTTAAAAAACATCCTAAAAGCCCCCGGTGGTGATCAAAGTTACTCGAGAGGCTGAGGCAGGATCACAAGTTTGAGGTCAGCTTTGGTAACTTAGCAAGACCCTGTCTCATAAGTAAAAAAGGCTGGGAACATACTTTGGTGATAGAACAATTGGTGGGTACCCTTCACCCACCACGAAAAAGCATCCTAAAATATAGCCAGGCGTGAGAAGCAAAACAACAGAACCAGAATCCACAGGATCACCCAGGGACAAGAGCAGGAGGCAACCCTCTGAGGATCAGGTGCCATCTCCATGGGAAGACCAATGGGGACAAAGTGGGTAGTATACAAGAGCTGGTGTCCAAGCTCTGGAGCCAGACAGACTGCACCCAAATCTTTCCTCTCCATGTTAGTTTTGTTTCTCTAAGCCTCTCTCAGACTCTAGGTTCCTCATCTGTGAAATGGGGATAAAATACTTCCCTCCAGGTGGTCTAGGAATCTGAGAATCTATATTATAAAGGGCTACCCTGGGCCTCTGTGGTGTTTCTCCTCTGGCTCTGTTTTCTGAGCATCCTGTGTGGACCCTGTTTCCCTTGGATGTGCCAGTACTTTCTTTGGTTTATAAACACTGTTGACAGCCTTTACCCCCAATTTGCATTCCCCGATGCAAGATTCTGGTTTTCAAGGAGGAGAAATTGACCACTAGAAGACCAGCTAGAACCCGGGCTGCTTGGGCTGCTTGGACAGGCCCTGGGAGTTGAGAGAGGAGAGCTGAGCCTTGCAGACCAGAGGCATGTGCCCTCCCCTCCCTGATCCGAGAGCTGCTGGGCTTGGAACAACCTCCCTTTTATTCTAGACTCCCATTTTCTTTCCATTCTGTTGTTAGACCTCAGCTTCAGCTGATGTTGACCCTATTCAGAGAGTTTTGGCTAATGTTTGACCTGAGGAATAGCAGAGCATGTGGAAATGTGGAGCACTAGACAGTTTTAAGACGGCGGAAGAAAGTTACTCATTTTCATATCTGAAAGCATCCAAAATGAAAAAGAAAGAAAAACAAAAATGCAAACTCCCTCTTCAGCAAAACTAAAACACATTTGTAATCCCAACCACAGTTTAAAGGGAAGAGCTGTCAAAAGCAGTCAAGGGCTGTCCAAAGCAGTGAAGATCCAAAGTGGGGGGAGGTAACACCTTGAGAAGACACCTGCGGCTGGAGAGTTGGCAGAGCTACCCAGCAGCTGATATTCCTGAAGGAGAAAACCAAGGGTTCCAGGAGCAGCAGGAACAGTCTGGCAGTGGCCCCTGCCTCTGATGTTTTAGGGGATGATGAGGGCAGGACTGGTGGAGGAAACCACCAACATGCCATCTTTGCAGGAATCTGTGTGTTGGTGAGGTGGTTGGAGGAGGGTTCTGAACTGGAAGAAACCACAGCCACAGACCTCTGCAAAGACTAAAAGAAGTCGCTGTAACAATCCTGGGAACAAAGTTTCTGTGAACTAGAGAGTAATCCTGCCTTCCTAAACTAATTCCTAGATTGTTTGCAAAATGCTTGTTCCTCTTTCAAGGAAGAACCAGTACAGGATACAGTTAAAGAAGCTATTAGAGAAATAAAGGAGTAAAAATAACAGAGGGAAAAAATGGCCAGTCAATACCACTCATCATAAAAAATGCTGTCACAAAGCAGATATAAATTGTAACCAAATTTGCAAGCTAATTTTGTAGTTGCTTATTTTAGGAGGGAGACAACTGGAACAGTCTAAACAAAACATTAAATCCATTTTATATAGTTATTATAAGAATAACCTCCAGAAGTAAAAATAAAATACAAACCTTCCAAACTGTCAGAAGGAACACAACACAAAACCAAGTAGACCATATACTCAAAGATTTTGTTTTATGAAGCAACTGAAGCAAAAAGATATAGAGACATAAAATGTGGCAGTAAAACCAAGACCAAGGTAATAATTATGTCAGTGTATGCCCATAGAAACTACTAGAAAAAAAGATCCTAAAATTGGGAAATAAGACAAAAAACCCAACGACATGCTACATGCAAGAGACACCCCCAAAGCAAAGAGATTCAACAATTGTGAAAATAAAGGAAGAGAAAAATATAACAGGAAAGTGTAAACTCAAAATAAGAAGAAACTGTACATGACTATATTATGCAGGTAAAGCTGATTTCAGGGAAAAATATTTAAAATCAGACAAAGAAGAATACGTTAGTATTCTTTATTAGATTTTATTGTATCATATTTAATATTCTTTTTTATATTACACTTTAATGTATTTTTTTCTTTTGTTTGTTTTGTACCAGGGATTGAATCCAGGGACACTTAACCACTGAGCCATATACTCAGTCCTTTGTATTTTTTATTTTGAGACAGGGTCTCACTAAGTTGCTTAGGGCCTTGCTAAGTTGTTGTGTCTGGACTTGAACTTGTGAACCCTCCTGCCTCAGCCTCCTGAGCTGCTGGAATTACAGGTGTGGGCCACTGCACCCAACACTTTTATTGTATTTTAGATGAAGAATATGATCTGTTGTTGAAGATCTAACACACCAAATAATAGCACCAAAATTCAGAGCAAAAACTAGAGGAAACATAGGGGAGGGATCTCAGAAACACATTAGAGGTAGGTAATTTTAATTCCCCTCTCCTACTCATGACAGATCAATAGATCAAATTAAGTAAAGACATAAAAAAGCCAAACTTGCATAATTAATAAGACAGATCTAATTGATGTGCATATCCAATGCTATACCTTGAAAACATAGGAGGCATGTTCTTTCAGGTGTTCCTGGAACCATAGAAAACATTTCCCACATGTTAGGCCACAAATAAAACCCTATCCAAAAGCAAAAGCAATACTGTCTGATAACAGAAAATGTAGAAACAAATCACAAAATTCTGAATCACAAAACCCTATCACTTGCACATTTTAAAAAAATCTCTTTGAACAACTTGGAAAAAAAAATCCATGTAAAATTGCAGAATAGCTGGAAAAAAGCAATAAGGAAACATTCCACCCCTTAGAACCCAGGGGATGCTTGTAAGCAGCACCCAGAGGAAATCATTGCTGGAATACCCAAAGTTAATAAATTTTTAACAATGAAAATATATGAATTAAACATAATGAAATGGAGAAGTAATGGATCTAATCAAAAACCCAAGAGCGGTTTTCTTTTTCTTTTTTTTTTTTTGTGGGGGGGGAGGATAGGGGAAATGCTACACAAAAACAAAAACAAACCAATAGAACATATAAACTATCTCATCCAGACTAACCTGCCATGTTATCTGCTCTTATTAACCATTATATTATTATTGTTAATCTATCATGTTTAATGACATGTCCCCTGAATGTGAGATAATGAAACGTCACTTCACCTGTGTGCACTTCCTTCCCTACAGTCCAATCATGAGAATAACATTGAACAAATTCCAGCTGGAGGGAGTCCAACAAGGTACCTGACCAGTGCCCCTCCAAACCATCAAGGTCATTAAGAGCATGGAAGGCCTGGGAAAATGTTACAGCCAGAGAAGCCCAAGATGACCAATAAGAACCACACATAACGTGGTATCCTGGATGGGATCCTCGAACAGCAACAGAACTCTGGGTAAAAAATGAAGGAAATCTGAATACAGTGTGGACTTTAGTTAATAATAATGTGCAGTATTGGTTCATTAGTTCTGATAATGTGCACCACTAATGTAAAAGGTTCATTATAGGGAAAACATTGTGGGTATATAAGACACGTCTGCCCTATTGGTTTTGGTTTGTTTATTGGTTTCACTTTTTGCAGTGCTGGGGATTGAACCCAGGGCTTCATGCATGCTAGGTGAAGTACTTGTTTTACTTTTCCCAAAATCTAAAATTATTCTTTAAAAAAAACTATTGATTTTTTAAAAATTAATCAATTTCTCAATTTTAAGACATATCAAAAAAAGTCAAAAACTAAAATTCACCCACCTCTTACCTCATTAGTCATTAATCTAATACAAACATGTAGTATTTGGATGAATTTTATTTTTAAAATATTTAAAATCTATAAAATATTTTGAATTTTCTTTTAAAATTTGTTGGGCTACGGATGTGGCTCAAGTGGTAGCGCGCTCGCCTGGCATACACAAGGCGCTGGGTTGGATCCTCAGCACCAACAGAGATGTTGTGTCCACAGAAAACCAAAAAATAAATATTTTAAAATTCTCTCTCTCTCTCAAAAAAAATTGTTATTGTGGGCCTTTATTCAGATTAATTTATCTCAAAAGATTATCATGTTCAAATATTACTAAATGTACTTTAAATGCATGAGTGCAATGACTAAATTAAAAAAATAAAAAGCTTACAAACCACTTAATCTAATTTTTTTTGTACCAGGGATTAAACCAGGGGTGCTTAACCATTGAGCCACATCCCCAGCCCTTTTTTATATTTTATTTAGAGACAGGATCTTGCTGAGCTGCTGAGGCTGGCTTTGAACTTGCCATCCTCCTGCCTCAGTCTCCAGAGCAGCTGGGATTACAGGCGTGAGCCACTGCACCCAGCTAATCTAATAAT